CTGAGATCCCTAGAGATTATGCTTTGAAAAGCACTTAGACATGGCCAAGATAAAATTTGAATTCAAGTCCTCGATTTCCAAATCCTGTGCTCTTTAATGAATCCAAGTTACTTTAGAGAGGAAATGTCAACTTGGGAATGAAGACAAGTAGGGGGACTAGAAATGTCACAAATCAACATTCTGTTCACCATTTTTATTCAAAGGGCCAAGACATTTAACAAATTAGATAAGATAAATGAACCAATCTGGGAAGAGCTAGGATAGCTGTATGTGCCATAATACAAGAAAACACTAACCAATTAGAAAGTGAATCTTTTGGAGACAAATAGACTTACTAAAATTCCTTTCCAGAAGAAAGATATCCAAGTATCTAAGCAGAAAATTCAGAATTCAAGGTAGAAAGAATAGGAGAGAATTATGATTTGCCCAGAGTAGTCCACATTAATATCAAGCTGGATATGGAGACCTGATGTTCCCTCAAGGCTTCCTTTCACAGTATCATGAACAGCACTTCCTACTAGTGCCATTTGCCATTTTCTCTTAGGATTTTACAGAGATTTACACTCCAAGACTTGACTTTCAGGGTCTTTAATGAAGTATAAAGACAAACTTCATGAGCTCCACTTGAATTTCTGAGCAAAAAAAAAAATCTACCCTAGTCATCTCTATCTTAATCAAAATTTCTGGATGAAACCCTAATACCCRAAGTTGTAATAATGCACTTCCATCCTCCCCAAGTTTCTTATGAACATTAGAGTCTGAGAATGCTGTCCTTACAAGATTGTAGTTTAAAGTAGAATAATTCTCTCTATACATTTCTTCTAAATAAACCTTTCTAGCCCTCTAATTTATMATTTCTTAACTTCCTACTCCTAAATGTCTTCTGGGGGCTTATTCCAGGATGACTGGTGAAAAAATAGCACTAAACCCCAGTGTATGTATATCACAGGGGAGGGGGGGAGGTGTCTTTGGGCTGGGGATGAAGAAGTTGGGAAGGCCCTGTAGGGCTCACTTTTACCCTATATCAAGGTGTTTTTGATCATTCTTGGTCATTTCTCTTTGCAGAAAATATGAGAAGTAGCCCTGAAATGAATGTTACCAATTGCACCAGGTGCAGTTCATCTAGGGAATTTCCAAGAGCAAGTCGAGACACATGGCAGAAGACATGGATTACATGTTGAGACTTGATTGTTTAGTTTGGCTCCTAAACCAACCAGCCATGTATTCTTGCGAAGAAAAATTCAACATTCTAACTTCTTTCTTCTTCATTTAAAATTTATTTGGACTAGGTCTAAAGATGTAGCTTAGTGGTAGAGTGCTTGCCTGGCATGTGAAAGACCTTGGGTTTGATCCTCAGTACCACACACATGCATGAGAGGTGTGGAGGAAGGGGAAAGAGAGAGATAAGGAAAAAAGTTACTTGGTTGAGATCTTTGTTTTGAGCTTCCTTGATACCATAAAAAATGATATTTGTATCAATCATGCTCACACAGACATACTACAAACAAATTTCATGAAGTGATACCTAACTTTGTGTGATAACTCTGATACCTTCATGCTATTTTCAATTCTATTCCATACTTTGAGCAAATGCAGTCATGAATGAGTCATGAATTTACAGTGTGAAAAACAATGGATTCGATACTATATAAGTTTTTATCTAATATTAAAGTTGAAAATGAATTAATTAGATGTCTCTGCTCTTGTTTATACTTTTAAAGTACCCTATCAGTAGGATTATCCATTTACATATATGCAATATATTTTAATAGAATATAAAATTTCAAATTAAATTGGCAAATTTAACTAATTATATTCTCTTGGGATTCAAGTGTTTTGTGCTTTCAGTCATCAAGCACTGAAAACCTCATCTCCTAATCACTTACTAAGAACTTCTTATGAGTTGCTATCCAGTAATATTRTACTTGTTACTTCTTTCATTCCTGTTTCCCCAGGAACATCTGGATGAAGGCAGTAACAGAGTGCAGAGGGAGGGAGTCAAAGTAATGACAAGAAGCCATCTCTTTCCTCCCAAACACATACTTGAGGGCTGACATCATARCCACATGGCATGAACTACAGATGAGAAAAGAACTGGATTTAAATCAGGAAAATTCACCTTTATCAGATGAAGACAGTAACAGTGTCAGCAGGGAAATGCACAGAGGTTGTGCTGAAGAACTAGAAATCAGCAACCAAAGTCATTATTATGGCTCTGGAAACAACTTCTGCTAGAGCAATAAAACAGGGTAAGGTCCCACAACTGAGCTTTCACTGATGCTCTTCTTCTCTCTGACACTATTTTTATTCTGTAGAAAATAGTCCCCCAAAAGATAACTGAAAAGAAAGAGTCCTAACACCTCTGAGTTTTCAAATCAGTATCTCACGCAYCCTGACTCTGCCTGCCTGGGAGGGCTAGCCCTCTGCTTGGCTGCAACCAGTTTAACTCCTCCTTTGGACCCCTGAGCCAACCCTTCCCTGAGAAGTAGTGCAAGAGCACCCTCAGTAATTCATGTGAGCTCACCTCCTGACCTATGGAAAACTGTAAAAGTTTCCAGAATTATAAAGTGAAGATGCCATATGGCTTCCTGGATCCAATCATAGATYAGAATGCTATTTAGAATGATTTGACGGTGTTAGATCTATGAGTTCATTCAGCAAAAGACAAGGCACATAGTGACCAACCAGGCTAAGCCAAGGGTCAGAAAGTATGTACTCCCATGTCTGTGATTTCAGCCCTGTCTGGACAACACAGAGGCTAAAGTAGTGGCCAGCACACAGGGAAGCAGGGTAGAGCGTCTCTGCAGTTGTTAGGATAGTCTCTTCTTTTTATCCTTTGCTTTTTCTTCTGCCCTCTCACTTGAAGTTTTGAGTGGGTGCAGGGGATTGAACCCAGGGCTTCCTGCATGCCAAACACACACTAGACAGCTAAGTTTTCTTTCCTGTCCAGCTTCTTTCCTTTTCTTCAATTTACTTTTTTTTTTTAAGCTTTGGCAGTGCTGGGGATTGAACCCCAGGGCTTTATGCATGCTAGGCAAGTGCTCTACCACTCAGCATTATACCCCCAATCCTTGATTTAATTTTAGTTACTTTTACTTATTAATATTTAACTTTAATATCTTCCTCACCATATTATTTCAACTGCTCTTGATTGTTTCTGCAGTAAACACAGCCTTACAAGCTAATGTAGAATTAACAAAGAGTTGTTGGAGTCATTATAGAGCTATGTCTTTCTTTGTATATTATCCCAAAGATTTCTATGATATTTTCAGGAGGCCCAGCCTGAATTACATGTTATCTAATACACTGCCAGTTTATTCATGCAGCAAATTGAAATTATGCTCATAGATGATTAGAACCAGAAGACATTTCAAAGATCATCAAATCCAGTCCTTTAATTACACAGATGAGAAAACTGTAGCCCAGAGAGTTCAAGTGACTTACTCCAAATCTAATATTCAGTGTGGTTTGGAGCCAAACATATGAGACAGATAAAACTATGAAGTATGGAAAATTGTGTGCACACTATCATTTCCTGAGAAACTGATTTTGGTCTTTGGATGTTAACCACCTGAACAAAGTCCAGTGCATATGTCAACTGCACAACAAAACCTAATATGAATCCCGGGACTTCATTTCCCATGTGCGTGGGCTGAAAAATGAACTGTTTCCCACAGAAGGTTCCACTCGAGATAAAACTATATGTTTCTCTTGCACTCAGGATTCTGGAGAAACCTAAAGTCATGCTTCCAGAACACAGAATGTGCAGCACTGCAGAGAATAACAATTTGCTTGGAATGAATGAAGAATAGTAACCAGACCCTCTGCAGGAGAAATAAATGAGAAATTGAGTAGAGTTTCTGAGCAGGAGATTTTTTTCCTTTTTATTTATTTCCTGTGGGGAGTAAGAGCTTTAAAAAAGGAACACCTGGGGTCCCTGGAGGAACATATGCAGGCACCAGCAATGATCCAGTTCTCTCTCAGTGAATAGTACTATGCTTCTGGGGCAATTCAGAGGTCGTGAAATGTTTAGTGAGCACAGTCACCATATGCACCTAATGCATAAGAAAGCCCAGACTTCTGAAAACATACAATCTCAGGTGGGGAAACGAGCCTGTGGAACATGACACCCTCATAAACCTCACAGACTCTTGGGACAGGCAGCATCCTTGATACATGTCATCTCAAAGACTCTGCCTGCAGGTATTTGTTTCCTAGGATACATTTGCAAGGAGCAAAATAATGAGAAGAACTAAGTAATAGGAAGAATACAATATTTCCTTTTAAAAGGAAAAATTAAAAAGAACATCGATTTCATTAGGTTAAATTTAAAAATGTATATTTTGCCAAGAAAACACCCCTTCCCTGATCCAAAATTCCATGCAGCAGTCTCTTATTTTTACTGTGTTATTGTTGTTTTTCATAATTTCTTAAAATAAGTTTTCAGTCTGACTGGTAACTTTTTATTTTGGTGGAATTTTTAACTTGCAGAAAGATTGCATAAGCTTCCATATTCCTTCTATCCAAATTTGCCATATATTTGTATTTTGCCCCCACTGTATGAACTCCTTCCCTCTCTCTCTGTGTCTCTCTTTCTCTGTCTTCTTGCTTTCTCTCTTGCCCTTTCTCTCTTTGATTCATTTGATCTACTTCAGAGTCATCTGTACACACTGTGTCTTTACTTCAAAAATCTTCAGTGTTTTGTTCCTAAGAACAAAATAGTTCCCTTACAAAATCACTGTACCATTATCAAATTTTGAAAATTTCATATTGAGGAAAATCAATATTGATACAATACAACATTAGTATTAATATTGATATAATACTCCTATCTGATCATGATTCTATTTTTAAGGAAGGTGTTTAAAGTCACCTACTTTATTCTAACTATGACTTTCATGGTGTGACCCAGATTTAGGGACTAAGCATTCTTTGTGTTAGATATTAGTACCATTTTGTAACACAGTAAATGAGACCAAGCAGAAAATGTGTCTTGTTACCTGTTGATGCATCAATTGCTTCATACTTTATTGTAAAGCCTTCATAAGCGAGGTCAGAGTCAGCCACAAATATCAACATTATTGAGTTGTCACTGCTGGTGAGAGAAGGCGGGATGGATTTTCCACAAAATCTATTCCAAATGGAGAAAGAACAGATACATGGGTTTTAAAACATTTAGTATATTTGAAATGATGGACCAAAAATTGGGACATGTAAATATGATAATAAGTTTTCTTATATAACTCCAGCCAACTTAAAAATCAAATATATGTCAGGCAAAAAAAAAATTTCGAACTTAGAAGATCCTTCTATTCTTGATTACTTCCCTGAAATGGTTTGGTGTGTGTCTGGCTATGTAACTTGACATGTGTTAGAATTTTGATGAAATTAGAAAGCACAAGTTCCATTACATTGCCATTTAGCATATTAATGAACTTATTCATAGAAATGTAACAAATATAAACAGTGAAGGGAACTCATATATCATCAATTCTTWGAGTACAGACTCAAGTGTCACCTCTGTCACTTAGAGGCAATATGACTTTGGGCAAATCACTCAATCTCTATGCATCAGTTTCTCCATCTTGAAAATGGAGATGATGATAGTGCCTACTTCATAGAGTTATTCTTGGGAAATGATGGGTTAAGATACTGTACATAAAGCACTTAGATCAGTGCCTGGAATAGTAATCCTAGAGAGGTGGAATCTGTTGTCTTTAACAGCGGGCCTGTGGAGAGGAAAAGGTTTGATTATAAAGCCATATTGTCTTTCTGCTGAACAAAAGCAGTTTTACTCAGAACAAAATTTTCTAGTAATGACAAAATAATAAAAGACATTAAGCCATGAGATTTTAGCCAGAGAAATACCTGTAAGAAGGAAAGGCAARTAAAATAGAAATTTCAAGTCTAAACAGACTTGGCAAAATTAGTCAAATAGAATGACAGAGAAAAAAATACTATGAAAATGAATGTAAGGGGAAATGCTGAATATGAGAAAGAGATGGATTAATTGCTGAGGGAAATTAAAAAGAATTTAGTGTATAATGCCATTTCAGTGTTTAAAAGGATTTAACATCTTGATCAAAATAAAGGTAGGTAAATTAATTAAATCCTTAATTTATATGTCCATATGTACTAAATTTGGGCAAGATCATTCTAGTTTATGCCATTCAGCAAAAATTATGTATTTTTCAGTGGTTATAAATACCCATCCATCCCCCCAAAAAAAAGAAAAATAGAAAAGTTTAAAAAGTTAAGAAAAGATGACAAGGGAGAATAAAACCAGAAGAAAAAAAATTAACTTAAGAAAATAATTGATAGAGAAACAAATGTTTTAGAATTAAAAAAAATAAGTAAAAGAAAATGCAAAATGAAGAAACAATCAGGAGAATTCCATTTCCAGTGAGGATGTAATAATAACAGCTAGATTTAATTTTACACCTGAAACAATTGAAACCTGAGGAAAATATTTAAAATGATGGCTCTCAAGACACTGGATATCAAGTGAGGAAGAACAATAGGAAACAAATGAGTTCCAAAGCAAAACTGAAAAGGACTGAACTGGTTTCAAGCAATTTAACTGCATTCCTGGACATTTATAGGAATATAATAATATCTAGAGCCAAAAACATAAAAATTAAAAATGCCTAACATTATATCAACTATTTCCAGGGATAGAAAGAAGCAGCAAAGTATGATTCATAATGAAAGGAAAATTAAAATAAACTGAAAAAGGTTAAAAGCTTAATTGTAAGGTATGAAGTGCTAGAAGAACACATGGAGGAGTTCTCTATAACATTGGTCTTGGCAGGATTTTCATGGAAAAGATCTCAAAAGAACAGGCAACAAAAAATAAATAAACCAGTGGGGTTCTATTAACTATAAATCTTCCATATGGCAAAAATAAACAACAGGGTGAAGAGAAAAACCTATGGAATGTGAAATAATATCTGCAAACTATACATCTCACAAGCAGTTTATGTCCAAAATACATAAAGAATGTGAACAATTCAATAGCAAAACCACAAGTGACTTGATCAAAAAAGGGGCAAAAAACCCATAAATAGACATTACTATTAAAAAAAAAACACAGAAATGGCCAATATGTGTATTAAAAAATGCTCACTATCACTCTTCATTAAAGAAATGCAAATAAAAACCACAATAAGATATCATACCACATCTGTTAAATGATTATTATAAAAAAATAACAAGGATTGGTACATATTTTAAAAATAAAAAATAATTAATACAGCCATTATGGAAAACAACATATAGAGGTTCCTCAAAAATTAAAATTAGAACTATCATATGACCCAGCAATCCTCCTACTAAGTATATAGCTCAAGGAAGCAAAATCAGTATGTTGAAGAAATATCCACCCTCTCATGTTCATTGCAGCATTATACAAGGTCCAAGATATGGAATCAACCCAAAGGTCCATCAATAGATGATTAGAAAATGTGATATAGATATATAGATATGAAAATGTAAATATAGATACCCACCACCACACACACACCATGGAAGACCATTCAGTCATAAAAATTAATGGAATTCAGTTACTTGGAACAACAGGGATGATCTTGCAGAGAACATTGTATGACATTAAAGAAACTAGGCACAGAAAGAAAAATCCCACATGAGATCACTCATATGTGGAATCTATAAAAAGGTGATCTTATAGATGCAGACAGTATAATAATGGTGCTGACTGGAGGCTCAGGTGATTGGGGGGAAGGGTTGGGAGATGATGTTGAAAAGATTCACAATTACAGTTATAGGAGAACTAAATTTCAAAGGATCTGTTGTACAGCAAGGTGACTGTAGTCAATCATACTTGATATCTTTGGCAAACATGAAAAGAGTGGATGTTTTGTGCTATCACTGTTAAAATGATAAATATGTGAGGTAGTATGTTAGTTAATTGGATAGAATTCACTATTCTGTAAGATGTATTATATACTTCAAAATATCATGGCCTACAAAATAAAGAAAAACATGTTGTCAATTTAAAAAAGAAATAAGAGAAAATAGATGGGAAATGGTGGTACGTGCATTACTGATTTTGTGCCTTTCTGAACAAAAATCTATAAAAAAAATAATGATGGTGGAATGTGATAGACATCATTATTCAAAGTACATGTATGAAGACACGAATTGGTGTCAACATACTTTATATACAACCAGAGATCTGAAAAATTGTGCTGTATATGTGTAATAAGAATTGTAATGCATTCTGCTGTCATTTATTTTTTTAAAAAATCCGTAATAAATAAATAAATACAATAAATACTTTAGTCAAACAAACAAAAATTAAAAATAAACAAGCAAGCTGCCAAGTTTAGCATGAAAAAAAAGAAAAACACCTTGGGCTGGGGTTGCAGCTTAGTTAGTAGAGTATTTGCCTAGCATATGTGATGCACTGTGTTTGATCATCAGCACCACATAAAAATAAATAAAATAAAGTATTGTGTCTGTCTTCAACTAAAAAAAATATTAAAAACACCTCACCTCCCAAGAAATGTCTCAGAACCAGTGTCATAAACTTCCAGGTAATCTTTTGAGCAATTGTAATGAAACTCCAGATAAAACTTGTCAAACACCAAACGAATCCGTTTTCCAGATTGAACCCGTACATGCCAAGTACAGTTGATACCACTGGGGTAGATATTTGGATGACCAGGACTTTTAATGATTCCTGTGGACTGTGTAAGAACTTGTCCACATGCTGTTGAAATAAAAATAAAAATTATCACAACAGGTAACCAACAGGCTCCATGGATTTAAAAAAATATACATGGATCATAACCTCTTAAAATCTCAAAAGAATAGTGCCGTTTCTTATATGCCACTTAAGATAACTTTTTTCTTTTGTTAATAAATACCAAATAACTATTGTTATGTGTTGATTGAAAATATATTCTTTGCCATCAGTGCACTTTAAAATATTTTTTTACAGTGTAGACGTTTTTGTGCAATTTGTTTCTATTGTTTAATTATTTGAATGTAAGCAAAAGAGAAGATACAATCTCTTACCCAAATCCTCAGTACTGAACTTAGCCATGAAACCATGATTTTCAGTAGAAGAACTTTTCACAAATGTGACATAAAGAATATTGTACACGGATGTTATTAATGAAGTTATGTTGGTGCCACARTACTTTTCATTTTCAGGAGAACCCAAAATGGAACTGCTACCAACCTAAAATAAAACAGATAAACCCCAGTTTATTTTGTTAGATGTCTATTTTGGAAAACAACTTCAAGAACAATTATTTCATAAACCCTTTTATTAACATACTAAAATCAATTTGAAAACATCATCAATTTTAGAACATTTTATTTACCCCAGGAGAAATTCCACGTCCATTAGCAGTCACTCTCTATTCTCCTGCCATTAGAGCCCCAGGCAGCCACTAACCTACTCTCTGTCCCTATAAATTGTCTATTCTGGACGTTCCAAACAAATGAAATCTTAAGATATATGGTCTTTTGTGACTAGACTCTTTATGTAGTGTAATGTTTTCAAAGCTTACCCATATTGTAGTAGGCATCATTACTTTATTTCTTTTTAATGCCATATAATATTACATTGTATGTATATGTGTGTGTACATATATATGTACATATATAGTATTTTACTTACCCATTCATCAGTTGATGGGCTTTTTTATACTTTTAAAATTATCAATAATTATTTTATTTGGCATTTGCATATGATATAATGAATGTAGGCATACTCACATGCACATTTTTATTAATATGTTTTGTTAACATTGAATATAAAACTAAGAGTGGAATTTCTGGATCAAATGGAAACTTTATGTTTAACTTTTTGAGAAACCATCAACTGTTTTCCAAAGTGGGTACATCCTTTTACATTCCCACCAGTAAATCGTAAGCGTTCCAATTTCTCCAAATCTTTTCCAACACTTGCTATTATCTGACTTCTTGATTACAGCCATTCTAAAGAATATGAAGTGAGATTGCACTGTGGTTTTGATTATTTGCATTTTCCCTGAGGACTAATGATGCTGAACATCTTTTTACATACTTGTTCATTTGCATATTTTCTTTGAATAAATGTCTATTCATGTSATTTGCTCACTTAAAAAAACAGATTGTTTTTAATTTTGATGAAGTCCAATTTCTTTATTATTTCTTTTGTTATTTGTAACTTTCATGTCATAGCTAAGAAGTTTTTACCTAATCCAAGGTCACAAATGTTACCATGTTTTCTTCCAAGAGTTTCATGGTTTTAGAACCCATGTTTAGGTCTATAATTCATTTTAACCTATATCCCAATCCCTTTCTAGTTTTTTGTTTTTGAGACAAGGTCTTCCTAAGTTGCTCAGGCTGGCCTCAGACTTGTAATCCTCCTGCCTCAGCCTCCTGCAACACTGGGTTTACTGCTGTAAACCATTGTACCCAACTTCTAATAAGTCTACTTCCTGAGGACTGTGTAAGAACTTGTCCACCTGCTGTTGAAATAAAAATAACAATAATTATCACAATAGGGAATCAACAAGCTCCGTGGATTTCAAATATGTGGATTGTAAGCACTTAAAARCTCAAAAGAAAAACACTGATTTTTATATGTCATTTAAGATATTTTTTTTCTCTAAGTTTTTTAAGTGTGTGAATTCTTTGTGATACTCCACATATAAACTRAAGATGCATTTTATTTTCTCTTCCTTGCTTAATTGTTTAAGAAAGAAAAAATTTCCAGTATAATGTTGGACAGAAGTGGTGAGAACACACAGTCTTAAATTTTTATGGATAAAGAGGCAAAACATTTAGTGTTTCATCATTAAATATGTGGGGTTTTAAAGATGCCATTTATAAAATTAAGGAAGTCCCCTTTTCCCCTAGTTTTTTAAATGTTGTTATCATAAAAATGTATAGATTTTTTCAAATACTTTTTCTGTAATCTACTGAGATGATCAAGTATTTTTGACCTTTATTTTATTGATAACATGTTTTGTATTCATTGAATCTGGGATGTTATTAACAACCCATACTTCTGGGATTAATCTCATTTAATCATGGCATATAAACCTACTTATAAGCTAGATTCAGTTAGCTAGCCTTTTGTTAAGGATTTTTCTGGGTTCATAAGAGATATTGATCTCTACAAAATGACTTCCATTASATATAACTGATTTGAGGATAACATAGTATTTTTAATAATAGATAATGAAATACAAAGATCCAAAGGTTTGTTTCTTCTTACCTCAACATAATCTGTATCACAGTGGGCAGAACTTCCAATTTCAAAGCTAGTGAACTGGAGAAGAACAACTTGGCTTTGGGGCTGGCGTATGGTCCACCTACAGGTCCTTTCTCCAGGATATACATTGGGATAATAAGGGGAGCGAATGACTCCTTCTCCAGTTAATTCACCCCCACAAGCTGTAAATATAAAAATGATAGGACTGTTCATCAGAAATAAATAATTATTGGCCCCAAGTTTATTGTATATCCTGATTATGCCTAAGGAGATAAGAGAATGTTACATTTTTATGAGAATATTTTCCTCACCACTTGAGGACACAAAATGACTAAATTATTTTAAGAAACTAAAATGTTACAATCAAATAAATGATACACTTAAAATTAAGTAGAAATTTCCTTACCAACTTGATAAACAGCTCTGAAACCAGTCTTTTGGGTGGAATCATCTATTATAAGCCTGATCCAGATATTGTTAGTAATGGATGTAATGGGAGAGATTTCATTGTTACAGACTTTTCCAAGTAARGTATCATGATCTTGAACCTAAAAAAAAGGTGAGATAGAACTGTAATCCTAATCAATAAAATTACTTTGGCATTATTTAGAGATAAGATAATGACAGATTGAAAGTGGACAATAATCTAATTTAGATATTATATTTGAAAACAGTGGGTCACTTTTTAGCATGATTCTACATATTGATAAAAATCTGAAAGTCAACAAAAATCMATAAGAATTTTGCAGATGTCCTAATAATTTCTGCAGTGTCAAAGAGGAAATAAATCTACAAGTCTGGACTAGCTCACAAACAACAAAAACAAAATTACTGCTATCAGAATATAAATGTTTTGACCAGATCTGTAATCAAAAAAAAAGAAAGAAACATACAGAATTCATAAGTATGTTGAAGAACTGTTTTTGAGGGTGGTTGGGCAATAAGGATACAAAAGACAAATCTTGGGCAACTCTAATAAAGAAAATGAAAGCATAAATACACAAAATTAAAAATGACAAAGATTCTACAAACATATAGATTCTAAGTAATATTTTAAATATAATTTTGTGTCCATATATGTGTCTGAAATGAGTTATTTCCAGAAAAAAGCACATAATTACTAAAATTATATCAAGAAGAAGAAAAATAAAATCTGAATAAACATAAGTCATGGATAAAATTAAAAACATTTTCAAATAATTAGTCCACCCATCCAAAAAGGAAAAACTCCCAGAAGATGTTATGCACTATTTGGTAGGTTCTTTTAAGTTTTTAAGAAACAAATTAATGCCTGTGTATAATTTGTTCTAAGGTGCCCTCAAATGAGAACCAAGTTCCAAGTATTTTTCCTCTGAATTGTTATCATATACCATCAGAGAGAATAAAAAACTATGAACTAATATCACCAACTCATATTGATACAAACATCTTAGACATGATTATAGAAAAATGAATCTGTAGTCATTGTTAGCATTATACACCAAATCAAGTATGGGAATAAAAGTAATTTATTATTATTGATTTATTATTATTATTATAAAAGTAATTTACATGTTTATTATTACATATAATTTCATCAATACATCCAATGGCATAAACCACATGGAAAATCTCTTCTTTGTCTTACTGAAAATATGTAGTTACTCTTGACATTTTTTAAAAGTGAAGCCAGAAAGTTTGTTAGCATCCTGATTGATTAAAGACAAAACTCTTAGAAAGCGAGACAAGAAAGAATTTTTCTTCATTCAGTGAAAGCTACCTGTTTTAAGTCAATAATCAATTTTTGTAGTGCAGTGAAAACATACCCTGTCTATGAACCTGGGTTCAAATCCTACCTATCATTTACAAGTTTCCTCTTTTAATAACCTTGAGCTAGTTACTACATCTAAGCCTAACTCACACAGTTGTTGAAGCAAATAAATAAAACAGTAGTGTGAATTCCTTGGTGAGATACCTAGTACCAGTTATCTAAAGAAAAGCTGTTACAGGCTGAGATTGTGGTTCAGTGATAGAGCACTTGCCCAGCACATGTGAGGCACTTGGTTCAATTATCAGCACCACATAAAAAATAAATAAAATAAAGGTATTGAGTCCATGTACAACTAAAAATATATTTTAAAAAGAAGAGAAGAGCTGTTGTTATTCTTGACAGTTCTTTTGAGGGAAGGTGGTACCAAGGATTGAACTCACGAGCACTCGACCACTGAGCCACATGCCCAGCCAGCCCTATTTTGTATTTTATTTAGAGACAGAGTCTCACTGAGTTGCTTAGCACCTCGTTTTGCTGAGGGTGGCTTTGAACTCACGATCTTCCTGCCACATTTTCAAAGGTAAAACACTGGAGGCTTATCATCATAATCAGAAATTATTCAATGGATATACATACTATTCCTGTTCTATAAAATTATTCTGGAGGACCTAGCCACACAAGTGTTACTTTATTAATTCACATTATCAAGGTATCAATGAGTATCAGACCTGTGCTGGCAAGAGCACTGTGACATACAGTCACTGCTGGCAAGGGACTTAGAACAGGAAAGAGCTTATTCTTTTAAAGCATTTTGATAAGTGTGACATCTGGGAAAGTGCAGGCTGCCGCATTATTACTAGACCAATGATTCTCAGTAAGTACCCAAACTAGGCATTTGGAAAATTTGCAAGGGCATTTTTTTTGCAAGGGCATTATTAAAAACTTTCATTATTATCACAATGATGGCTAGGTACTGTTGGCATTTAGTGGCGAAGGATCAAAGACACCAGCCAGCCAGAAATGTGGAAGACAGTCATTCACAAGGATGGTCCTAAAAATCCTAAGGATCCTCCTAAGTCCTGTGTGACATTGGTATAGGTGAAAGTTTTGTAATTAAGCATAAAAATGTTGCTTAGTTTCACACATTAAAAACAAATGTCTTCACCCAATTTTAATACATGCTGAATTTTTCAGAAGAATGAGCATAAACGAAAAGAATTTTTTTCTCCCAGGAAACCTGCCAAAGGTTGGTCACCGTTTCAGAAAAATTAGTTACCAACCCGCACAGCCTTGTCAGCCTACATTTGTTCTGCAGTGTTCATGGCAATTTAGGATACGAACAGCTGACTGCTTCATTTGGTCTTCAAGTACAACTTGCTCAAGATTTTCACATACTGAACTAAATGTGATTCTTATTTTGTTGTTTTATTTCTCCTCAATTTTGTGCTTAAAAATGTATATTTTTAAATTATAGTGTGTGTAATGAGCATATATCATCAATGAATTTCACTGCAGAATAGCAAAGGGTGACAACAAGATCTTAAAACCTAGACCCAGTGGTGTAACCAAAGACTCTGAACTCATCTAGCGGATTAATGGAACAGATCTTAGCAGAAATAAACTGCAAGCGGAGACTTGAAGGCCAAGTAGGAATTAGCTAAGTGAGTAGCAAAGGGCAGATTTTTAAAGCATATTCAAGCTGGTGGGGATATCGTGACATCATTACTCTCAACCCTAACTGGTAGAAGTATAAAGTTTGGGAAGATTTACTTGACAGTATGTATCCTGAGTGGCCTAACACTTTATCCCCAAAATATTCAAGATGCAGACCCAGATGCACCCAGACCCAGATCAAAGTATGCTCTCTAATGACAATGACTAAAACTATTCTAAAGTTCTAATAATAGGTGGGTGACTAAATAAATTATGGCTCAGCCATATGATTGAGACAGACATTAAAAAAAAATCACATGCCTCTCCACTGACTCACGCTCATACCAGTTCTTTTCTGAAAGCTCTTACAACATCTGCAACACAAATTTCACATATTGAAATAAAGGATACTAAATTTCTCTCTAACCAAACAGAAAATCTTGGAGAGAAGGGAAGGCTTCTGTGTCCCCTTCAACATCTAGCAATAAACTTTGCAAATAGGGATTTGACTAATTCTTGTTGATTCATTCATTTTAAGGTACAGGATGATGTTCCAATTTTTTTTTCTTTCTTTTTCTTTTTTTTTAGATACGTAGACATGCTACAGTTCCTGAAAACCAAAAAGCATTAAACACAGAGAAAGATGATCTTCCTGCTCTCTAATCCTCCCGGGTTCTATTTGCTTTTTCTAAGATTATAGTCTCTCTTTTCTATTTCACCCATTAGAAGATGACAAGAAAGAAGAAAAACAGCCCAATAGCATCAGTGCAAGCTTAAGTGAATCATTCCCCTTGGACCTGATTAATGAAACTCAAGGACTTTAGCAAGGAGAAAGGCAGCTGCAGTCCACATGTTTTAAGAGTAACTTATAGGGATCAAGGGCCCTAAACCTAGAAGGTACAATTGATTTTCACCATCTCTCTCTCTCTCTCTCTCTCTCTCTCTCTCTCTCTCTCTCTCTCTCTCTCTCTCTCTCTCTCTCTCTCTCTCTCTCTCTCTCTCCCTCTCTCAATTCTTATTAATTCTAAAAAACCTGTATTTTCCCTGGATCCCAGACATGGCAATGCATTAACCATCACTCTTTCAAAAAAGACATTGAAATAAAATTTATCAAACGTTCTAAAGTGACCCCAAATATTTTTGCAATACCACTTGCATTCAATATTCTAAGATTTGTGAACTTGTCTTTTTCCTTTGTACTTGTGAAGAAGGATAGACTGCATTATTTTTTCATCATGAGTCACTTCCCTCACATAAGAGGATTGAATATCTGTGCTCTTTGCCATGTGACTTGCCATGTCTCTCTATGGAGAATTAATACTTACCCTTCCCTTTGACTGAGCTTACCCATAGGAATTGCTRTGCCTAACAGAATGTATGTAGAAGCGATATACTAATTTCCAAGTAGTGGCTTTGGCTGCTGTTGCATGATCTGAATGTCTTTTACTTTTCCTTCTCATAAAACCAAAAGCCTGGGTCCCATGATGCAGGAAATATCAGCAGAGAATTTGGGCAAAACTGATTCAAAACCAATATGTTATCATGAGCAAAACACAAACCTTATTTGTAAGCCACAGAAATTTTTTGTTTGGTAACGTTTATGATTTCCCTGGTATTTGTTATTGTTTCTTATTTCAGGATAACTTAGAGAAAGAAGAATATCTGAAGCTTGTTTGTGGTAACAAAGAGCTTTTCTTAAGAAATCAGATGAAGTCATGTCACAATTACTTGAAGAGGGATCACAATAAGTCCATTCTTTTTAATGAATCACACTTGCAAAGAAGTGACAGGAATCAATGCAAAATACTAGGGTTCTGTGCATTAGGCTCAGATCACTCACTGATTTCTTCTTTCAAGTTACTCTATTTTTTTTTCTAGTTACTAATTTTG